CCCCAGACCTATACATAATTCTATCCTTTTTTTTCTTTTATATCTAATTTTTTACATCTCAAAGCTCTCTTTTCTCTCCGATACTTTTTATTCAAAATGATCGTATTTAGGTCAAATCCGTGCTGCCTGGAGGACCCGCTGCCGAGGATGGAGTGCTTCGAGCCGGTGATGTACTTGTCCGAGTTAACGGGGAACTTCTCTTGGGTGCCTCTCAATCAGATGCCTGTCGAATTTTTGTGAATATCCCAGTTGGTGACCCAGTGGCTATACAAGTCTGTCGTGGATATCCGTTACTATTGGATCCATCAAATCGGGTAAAAGTCTTAATTATATATTTTACATACCTATATCGGAGGTTTTTTAACCCAAAAAAAGAAAAAAATTAGGAAGCAGTTTTAATCGAAGTAAAAAGCTGGACAAGAATTAAATCAGGAAGATTTTTCTCAACGTCGAGAATTCTTCAAAAATTTGAACTATTATGTGAATTACCTACTTTCCATCAGTTAATTTTGCGCTACAAGCGTTTTTTGACGTAGCTTTTCTTTACCGCTGTTAAACTTCTTACCTTCTTCTGTCTATTATTTGGTTTTATCTAATTTATTTCTTTGTTCCATTCATCTTATGAGAATACCCTGCATCCCTCTGATTTTACTACTTTACCTCCTTTTGCTTGAAAACTTTTATTTCTCATTTCATGGTGCTCCCAGAAAAAAATCTGGTAGTTAAAGAATTCACAGTTTTCATTTAAAATCTATAATTAAAATTTTTTTCTTATTCTTATGCTTAATCGTTATAGTTAAGTATCAGAGCAGCTTAATGTCATTCTTAAAAGTGCCGGTTTTTTTTCACAGTTTTTCGGACTTTTTTCAATTACTTTAACTTATTTATAAAATCTCATTTTGCTATTATTTTGAAATCTGAGTTTAGCTTTATCTGCAATATTTATTTTTTTAAGGCTGGTCTTCATAAGTTTTGAGATTTCAGATAATCACGGAAAATGTTTACCAAACAGGCGCCCGAAGTCGAGATTTGCATGAGATAGAGATTGTCAAAGGAAAGGAAGGCTTCGGCTTTACGATTGCTGACAGCGCAACGGTTGGTCTTTTAGCTTTGAAAGGAAGAAGGGGAGAGAGGAGGGAGAATTGAGGAGCAAGGGGTATGGATATATGTTATTTTCATTATAACAGTATTTGCATCATTTTGTGGATTGGGTAAAGTTAGTGAGATTTTGATTTTTTCTGTTTCTTTCTTAAGGCGCTCAATAAATGTAGCTCTTTGATTTCTGATTTTACATAATATAGACTAATTGAAACATCTATCAATTTTCTATTCAAAGTTCAACTTTTCGAAATTTCCATTGAATTTTATGCAAAAATTAGCATTTTCCCATCTGTTGTGTGCTGCGTTTCCCCATCAATAGCTGATCGCCTTCCCCCATTTAGGGTCAACGTGTGAAGAAGATCCTCTATCCAGAACAATGCGCCAATTTGTTGGAAGGTGA